ATCCCGCCAAGTGAGTAAAATAAGCAAGTAAATAGGAAATAAGCAAAGCAGAACACTGCGGGTCAAAACAGCAGTATGTGCGCAAGCTTGATCCACTAGTGTTTCTTCCACTAGCTCGTGGCCTGATTGGAGGTAGCTCGTCAAGGATAGCATCGTGCAGAAACGCACCCGCGAGTGGATGGCATTCTGCGCATGTATGCTGTTTTTTGCTCTCGTATCCTGTGCGCTATTTTTGAGACTAGATAAACACCGTAGGGCCATTCACATATTGTGTCTTTTGCGCTCTTAAGGTCGCTATTTCAAATGTACTGTAGGCGCGCGGGAAGTGCTCTCATAATTGAAATGAATTTTGATTGTCGCAAGCGCACCGCATTTCATGTGTCAAGAACCAACCACCATTGAATGCTCAATAAACATTAAGGTTCGGGGTGCGCCCAAACGCTACCACTGTTTTTCTCTTCTCCGTGAATAAATCTTGTAGCAGACCTACTGAAAGCATTTTTCGGTAGTGAATATCTATTAGCTACTAAAACAACTTTGTCGTTGTGGAGAGCGCAGTGCATGGATGCTTAGCAATGACAGACGCCACGGGAAAATCGGCCTGATTTTTACTATTAATAATAAAAGATGAGCTTCTATACATGTGTGTGTATATGTATATATACATAATACATCATCCTTGAGATGGTCTTGATTGGAGTCCACCTGTGGTAAACTCAGTTGACTGGTTGTATAAACCCCTCATGGCTGATCAGACAGTACTGTATATACTGTATATAGCATGTCTGTGTCTGAGCGCAGGACGACTACAATCACGTTCACGGCGGGAAGTGGACGGTGGGTAACCTGCGCCTCTATCTGGAGAGCACTAGAGGACGGGACGTCACCAACCACCTGTTTGACCAGATCCACTGGATCATCGTCCAGTCGCTCAAAGCCGTGGCTGTAAGTCAAAACATCCACAGATCATCACCGCATCTGTCCGGCATGAGGATGTAGCGTTCGGATACGGAAGACTAAGACGAGTCATTCACAATAATTATAATAATAACGTGTTTCTGTTCTCGGCTGCAGCCCGTCATGAATAACGACAAGCACTGTTTCGAGTGTTACGGTTATGACATCATCATCGACGACCGGCTCAAGCCGTGGCTGATCGAGGTCCGATATCATCATCAGTTTTATAATATTCTATTTATCTTTACTTATATCTGTATTTCTGCATTTAAACACTTTATTACAGTTGTTTTAGTCTTTTTTTAATACTTCTATTTAGTTTTAATATTACAGTACCTAATTTCTAATTTTTTGTATTGTGCTTTCTTTCTTTTTTTATTAAGTTTTTAATCATTTTAGTAGTTCAACTTAAACTTGTTTTATTTCATTTCTAGTTTTGGTTTCAGTAATTTAAGTTTGTTCTTCACCTAATATTTATATTAAGCTCCATTTCAGTGATCGTAACGTACTGTTAATAGTTGTAGTCAGCTGTAACGGTGTGTGTGTGTGTCAGGTGAATGCGTCCCCGTCCCTTACCTCCAGCACGGCCAACGACCGCATTCTGAAGTACAACCTGATCAACGACACGCTGAACATCGTGACCCCGAACGGCGAGATCCCGGACTGCCGCTGGAACCGCTGTCTGCCCAAAGAGGCTCTGGGACACTATCAAGTGCTGTGAGTGTGTGTGTGTGTGTGTGTCTATCAAGTGCTGAATCCACAGATCCTGAAGTTAGTTTAGGAGATTAGGCTTGGAGTGGAGTACGCATATGTAAATGATGTCAGGAGTTTTATTGAAATATGGTTTATTGATGATGATTTATGATGATGTGACGGTTCTGAATTTTTTTTCTGTGAGTTTATACATGTTCTCATTTTATTTTTGAAATGTAAAAATTAATTTCTCTCTCTCTCAGATATGACGAGGAGCAGGCCCTGAGCGAGAGCGCTGACCTCAGGAGCCGGTCGGGTCAGTCGCTGGGGTCAAAGGGCAGCAGATCCGGCAGCGTGAGGCCACCGTTCCCCGCCACCTGGAAGTGAGACTGACAACACACGAGGCCTTCACTGGAGACACTGCAGCTACTGTGTGTGTGTGTGTGTGTGTTTAGCCCGTATCAGTGTGATCACATGACCTTCGCAGAACTAGCTTCCACAAGGTTTTTTTGGCATTGAAAGTAAAGATACATATATTTCTAAAATAAACGCCGATCTTCACTTTGAGCTTCCTAACTAGATTAGCAATATACCCAAGTATCCTGCTCCAGTGGACACACTCCTTACCACTGCAAACTACACTAACAACACAAGATGGCGCTATATCCACTACTGCACAATGAGACCGCGTGCTCCTTCACGAACACTGTCTCTGACCCGGCTATAACATGGCTTTCCTGAGGGGACGCTCATCCAACACTGTTTAACTACAACACAGAAATCACCCAGACCGTCACTTTTAATACAGGACACCGTTAGAGATTGGGACTAAACAACATAGTACTGGAAAAAGCTGAATTTGCTTTATTTAACACTAAACACACAGATGAGCGAGCAGGTAAACGCGTACACACTCCCCAACACTGACTTTTGGAGATACTCTAGATAAGACACAGTCTCCATGCAACTCTTAGATCAGCCCTGGCCTGCTGATCTGGGCATTTATGACATTATTTCCCTTTATCTGTGCCGTTTTAGATTTTATATTTATCTGTGTTTTTTTTTTTTTTAAATGTTTTAGATTTGATTTTATATTGTGCAATTTAATATATTTTATTTATTTTATTATTTTATTACTTTTATTGATGTACTATATATATATGGTAAGGGATAATAAAAACCGAAACGTCACTATTAAAATAGAATTTGCCTGATATTGTTCATGTTCAAAACAGCAAAATAAATAATGGTGCAAAAGATTTTCTGTTGTAAATTAATGCTGGTCTTTTTAACTTTCTATTCATCAAATTATCCCGAAAAATAAAATGTATCTCAGTTTCCACAAAAATATGAACTGTTTTCAACATTGGTGGTAATAATAAATGTTTCTTGAGCATCAGATCATCATGTTAGAGTGTTTCCTGAAGGATCATGTGACACTGAAGACTGTAGTAATGATGCTGAAAATACAGGGACACTCCACCTCTGGAAAGATGAACGTGTGTATATAAAATGGGTCATTTATGAAGAAGAAATGTGAAATTAATTTTGTATTTGGAGATTTCTAGACTGAGAAAAGCCAGAAAATTTATTTTTGGCTTATGTGGATAAAAGACAACAACTCCCAGAATTCACTTGCTTCGCTGCCCTAGGAGGCCTGTTTCTGCCACAGAATGAAAAATAAAAATTTTGCGACATTTTATCTCACAATTCTGACTTTTTTTCTCAGAATTACGTGATATAAAGTCAGAATTGTGAGATATAAAGTCTTAATTCTGTCTTTTTTTTTTCTCTCGCAATTGCGACTTTATTTCTTTAACTTCATATTACATTTACACTGTATAAGATTATTAGGTATAATATCTTAATATTTGGTGTTATCTTATAATTGTTTTTTCAGTTTTGATGAAATATTTCGTGTTTTTTGGTTTAATTTCTGCAATTTAAAAGGCAATTTAGCTGTTCAAGGCAGATTCCCACTGTAACATGCTCCGTTATCGTGTTTACACCCATAGACTGTAAAAAAGTTTACACTAAACCACTGAAATATTCACTGTCTACTGTATAAATATTTGCTATGATATATCCAAGACTGATAACTGTAAAATGTATAATATTTTATGTTTTTTTGTTTCTTTTTTTTTCATTTTTTTTAAAGTGGAACAATCCTGCAAATTTAGTCATTTTCAAAAAAAAAACAACATTACGAATATTTAAATTAAATCAATATAAAAAATGAATGTAGTATTTCATTCTGCCACAGAGAGATTTGGTAAAAATAGTGACAGAGGTCGTGAGCGCGCGCCTGCGCTCGCTGAGGGGATGTGACGTCAGTGAGGCGCGTCCCCGCTCCGCTCACAGCAGTCGTTGAATGTATCGATGAGAAACGGAGAAAGTCAGCGAGCGTCACATCATCCACAGACACGCGAGCGTTGGATCGGGACCGTCACACACACTCAGGTAAGTTAACGATAAAAACATCGCGTGTGCTGTGATTCAGAGCGCGAGCGGCACTTTACACACACTCTCTGCGCAGTCTGAGGAAACTTTCTGACGCGTCCGATGCTGATCGATCATCGGATCAAACTCTGTCACTCACACACACACACACACACACACACACACACACACACACACACTGCGAGCCTTCAGACGCTCGTGTCTCCGTCCACAGCGCCGGGTGTGTGTGTGTGTCTACACGCGTACTCGACACCGACAGCTGTGTGTTCACAGGGCGGGGCAGTGTGGGGCTTTTCCGCGGCTCGTGTTGACTCCTTCTGGGTCTTTAACCCGGTTATTCTGATCGATCATCTGTCGCTGTGACGTGATAACGTTTCGATATGACGTCACTGACCGTTCTGATCTTCCTCAGGAACGTCACAGTGTTGTGTGTGTATATTTATAATTGTGTGTTTAAACTGATTTAACCTGGTGGAAAGCTGGACAGGACCGCTTATGGATGGTTTATTATTGTCATGTAGGGAAAGTACATGAAAACGATTTATTAGCTGGTGTTATATGGGAAAACATGTGTTGTAACACTTTTAGTGTCCTTGTGACATGTTGTTTGTTTGTTTGCTTGAGTTTGTTCAGATTTACTGGACAGAACTTCATCTTTAACACATGGCATAAACAAAACTGTACAGGCACTCATTTAACTCTATCAGAAACACATGAGTAACACATGAATACAACACATATCTTATGCTTCTGCATACACACATACAGCTATAGTTGAAATCTGAGACAATAGCTGAGTTAAATACTTGGATCATCGACATGTAAACAGTAGTTTGGGATCCTCCTGTCATAATCTGTTTCTAAACTGCCTGAGTTGATCTAAACGCCGTCTTGTTTTCTTATGTTTCACATTTCCCTGGAATGAGAGTTTGTTATCAGTAATTATTCCTAAATATTTAAAAAGTTGCAACTTGCTGTACCTTTACACCAGTTATAATAACTTGAATGCATAATTGAACAAGACTTTTAATATCCTCAAAACAGGTTGAAAAATTAAAACCAAGTCATCAGTGTATTTGATTAAGGTGAGATCGTCCCTGTTACATTGAAGTGCGTTGGTATTTACACAAACTTCATAAATATGGTGGTAAACGTAAAAAATGTTACGTTTACCATAGTAATAACAGTAAATTATGCATAGTTACGTGGAACCTAACTTTATAGTAAGTACATGTTAATTAATATTACTGGGTGGTTAAATGTACGTGATAAGAATGACATATAGTGTCTTATAAACTTAAAATGCTTAATTGTCACATTTATCAGATTTGAGCTAGTCGGTAATATGATTTTAACATAAATCTGTAAAGTAATACGAAGCAACATGTGAGAATAGATAGATGTGTTGCGTCTCTTCCAGATACTTTTCTGCGGTGTTTACATCGGGTTTAAGATATAAAGAGATTCACGTCATAAAGGCAACAGCTGTCATTTTCATTTGGGTTAAGTCCAAGTTACAAATGAAGAGTTCAGATGCAAAAGCCTCTAAATGCCATTTGAAATTTTCATCTTTAATGATGATTTTTGTCAAGCTTGTATATTTAAGTTCAGTGATTTCACTTAAATGGCAATGATAATTACCTATTAATTGTTATTTAAGTGAAATTACTGAACTTGAATATACAAGCTTGACAAAAATCATCATTAAAGAAGAAAATTTCAAATGGCATTTAGAGGCTTTTGCATCTGAACTCTTCAAATATAGACCTGTCAGTTTTTTGTCAAAATTGTGTTTTTATTATTCTATAACATCTTGTTTATCATCTCTGAATATATCTTGGGAAAATTCACTGGTTTAGTGCAGAAAAATAGTGATTTATAATGTCCAGCTGAAAAGACTGTGTTTCTCTTTAAGAACGATAGGCAAAAAACATCATCTCCTGTTTAGCTCTCCTTCTCTTAACACTACAAAGACAGTTCAGCTATCATATAAACCACATAACAGAATAAAGTCCAGTACAACGGCCCGCAAGTTTTGATTTATTTATTTTTATCCAGCGTTATCGTGTGGAGTGATGCGGAGCACAAGAGAACAAAAGAGTTTGAAGCTGCTCGTTTAAAAGATCTCGCTCGCCTCTCAATCGTCCGATTTCAAAATGGTTTTCACAGGATTAATTTTGAGTTCGTCAGCTTTCGAATGATCCCTAATCTATGATGATTACTGAAATATGTGATATGAAGAAAAGGCAATAAAGAAGGGAGCGCCAGTCGTCCCGCTAGCAGGACGTGACCGCTAATTAAACCTGTTTTACTCAAAATTCTGTTTCGGAAAATCTTCAGATAAGCATAACTTTTGTTACAGACAAACGATAAAAGAAATAAACAGGTTTGGAAAGGGCTTGAAGCCAGGTTTAATAGGGTCTCAAAACCTGTAATATGTCAAATTTCAGCATGTGGTGGGTTTTCCCAGATCGCATCTCATTTATTCAAGTGCATTTTGTGTTAACAGAGACATTGCTTTTATTGTTTTTGGACGTTTTGTTCATTTATTGTGGATTTTTAAAATGTTTTCCATTTTCAGTCTTATATAGTCTTTAGAAATAAGAGATTATTGGTCTTTCTGCATTATTATGCCGTTATTATTTTAGATGTATTATCGTTTATCGCAATGATTTCTTGGACAGCAAGTTGTGTTATCGTGACCGGCCTGTGTGTCGCCCACACTGGGGGAGATGAGCTGTAATAATGGAAAATAATGTGTTTTTGAACAATCAAGCATGAAAACAGATTCTAGTACACCCCCAAAACTAAATCAAGACGTTTTTAATATGCAATGCAAAACTGAGTTTTAGTTGGGTGAAGTCAGTGTTTATGATTAGTGTTATTTTAATATAAGAGGGGTGTTGGTTGTTAATCATGTGTGTCCAGTGCTGATGCCTCAGTGTGTTTGTTCATGATGTGTGACGGTGAAAAACATCAGGTGTGTGTGTGTGTGTGCATCAGTCCACTCAGCTGTCAATCACTCGTCACCTGTCGTCACTGCTGAGATAATCTGGTGTGTGAAACCTCAGTATTGAGACTCTGAGGACTAATGAGCTGTGTGTGTGTGTGTGTGTGTGTGTGTGTAACAGATATAATAGAGCGCAGCAGTCGGTTCTGGAAGAACAAACTCCATTCATCCACTCAGCCGTGTGTGTGTTGGTTGGGTTCATGCTTGTAACGCTTTATTAAACCCCACTGAATGGGACACACACTTCACTGAAACCGTGATCAGGCAATCAAGCACTCGATCACATGATCACGAGCCTTCGAGAGGTCTCATTTCACATCGTGAAGGTCAGTGGGGTTCAGGAACTTCCTGTCCTGTGCTCAGCAGTCACACAGGTGTGTGTGTGTGTGTGTGTGTGTGTAACCGCATTAGTGTGCTCGAGTGTGAAGCTGACGTGACGCTCACTGAACACAATGAAGCTACGGCTGTGATTGACCAGCGGATTCTCTCACACACACACACACACCATTACACGGACACACAGAAGGATAGACAGAGATATTGATAGAAATAATCGCCAAGACCAAGATAGTGATGCACCGAAATTAATTTTTTAATCAAAAACACTAGAACTTCGAAAGTTGATTTAGTGAAAACTGAAAATATTTCATAAACATCTAAATTACACATAAGAAGCTTCTGTATCAGTTTAATAACAAAATGATGTTTCTTCAATGCATTAATAAACTGTGGCTGTAATAACTTGTTTTCGTGACATAGGCTACATTAATTATTGAGGAACCAGTTAAGTAAAACGGGATGCACGATATATGTATAAATATCAATATATATATATGTTCATCTGTAATGTTATCATAGGGCTGCGATTTTTTTTTTTTTTTTTTTTTTTTTTTTTTTTTTTTTTAACTATTTACAATTCGATTTTTTTTTTTTTTTTTTTTTTTTTTTTTTTAATCAAGAATAATTTCTATAACTCTGTGTGTTGAACTGATAACCACTCTTGTGTGTGTTAAACACAATCTACTTAATACAACTTCATTATAAAGAAAAAACACAAATCCCCAAAAATATCATCACAATCTATGACAAAAATGCTGTTATAAACTAGATTAGTGGATAATTCAGCAGTAAAATTTAGTCTAGAAAAATCACAAGTGCACAATAATTGTATAAAATCTGAACATTTAGGGAAAAAAAACATTTAGACTAAATCTGGTCAAACTTTACGCATTGCTCTTTGTGTTGTACATTCATGAAAAACAAGATAACAAAAATCAAAAAGATCAATTATTATATAGTCATGGCCACTATACAATTGAGACAACATGTTTTAAATGTATAGCACAGCCGTTTAATGAGACAGCAACATATGATCGATAGGACAGAATAACATACATACATCTTCTTCCGCTCATCCGGGGCCGGGTCGCGGGGGCAGCAGTCTAAGCAGAGATGCCCAGACTTCCCTCTCCCTAGACACTTCCTCCAGCTCTTCTGGGGGGATACCGAGGCGTTCCCAGGCCAGCCGGGAGACATAGTCTCTCCAGCGTGTCCTAGGTCTTCCCCGGGGCCTCCGCCCAGTGGGACGTGCCCGGAACACCTCCCCAGGAAGGCGTCCAGGAGGCATCCGGAACAGATGCCCGAGCCACCTCAGCTGACCCCTCTCGATGTGGAGGAGCAGCGGCTCTACTCTGAGCTCCTCCCGAGTGACCGAGCTTCTCACCCTATCTCTAAGGGATCGCCCAGCCACCCTGCGGAGAAAGCTCATTTCAGCCGCCTGTATCCGGGATCTTGTTCTTTCGGTCATGACCCAAAGCTCATGACCATAGGTGAGAGTAGGAACGTAGATTGACTGGTAAATCGAGAGCTTTGCCTTACGGCTCAGCTCCTTCTTCACCACAACAGATCGGTACATCGACCGCATTACTGCTGAAGCTGCACCGATCCGTCTGTCAATCTCCCGTTCCATCCTTCCTCACTCGTGAACAAA